TGGTTATTCCAGCTTGCAGGACTGGCCTAGGGTAATTTTTAGGGGGGTTTTAATTATATTTTAAATTCGACAAATATTTAATATTCTTTTTAATTAATTTTAAATTTGTATTGTTTTGTATGTATTTTAAATAGATTGTCAGCCGCCCTGAGTCCTACGGGAGAAGGGCGGGATATAAATTCAAATATAAAATAAATAAGAAGCCAGATTCACTTAATATCCGTGCTACTCAATTAACCCCTCTGGCCAGAAAAGTTATAAAATACTTGTGTGAATGAAGGAGACGCTTGCTCGGGCCCGTTTCCCATTTTGGATCTGAGCCATGTTTTTCCTTTGGCCCATCTCTGTCCAGCTCACGTCCCTCACTCTCTACAACCCGTAAGGCCATCTGCCATTTTCACTCCCCCCCCCAAAAAAAGAGTTAGTGGGGTGTGTTGGAAGAAGAGGAAGGAAGTGAGCCAAGGCAGTTCCACTGAGTTGGGGGGTCTCTGGCAGCCCAGACTTCGACCTGGAGGTCCCACTGACCTTGTTATTTTGCATGTCCTTGTTAGCGCCGTTCTTCAGCAGCGCCAGAGCAGCATCCACATTGTTCACAGCCGCAGCCCAGTGGAGGGCAGACTTGCCTGGAGGGGAAAACAAAGAGGGGGGACCATAAACAGGCCGTTCCGCAGCCTCCTTCAGCGGACCCTTTGGGGACGGCGTGGGGATCCACTGGTACCTAGATCGTCAACGGCATTGACATCGGCGTGACAGCTGATGAGATCTTCCAGCATGCCTTCAACCGCCAAGCGGGCAGCCAGAATCAGGGGCGTGGTGCCGTCATGCATACGGGCATCTAAGTCGGTGGCCCTGTTCCGGATCAGGATCTGTCCCGGGGGGGAGAAGCACCCTGGTTAGCAGAGAGTCGAAAGGGCCGAGGTGTAAACCACCCCAGTTTTGGTAGCAGAAACGTCTCCCAGTCTGAGACTCTTGGACCATCCTGACCTGAAAGACGCCCTGGGCATCTGCCGACACGGCCGCGTGAAGCGGCGTCTTGCCCATGTGGTCCTGGATGTTGGCGTCAGCGCTGGCTTCCAGCAGCCGCTTGGCCGCATCCGAACGGGCGTAACGCGCAGCCAGGTGAAGCGCTGTCTCCCCCGTGCGATCCGTCTGGCTGTGCAGGTTGGCCCCCTGGTAGATGAAATCCGAAATGACGGCGGGGGTGTCCTCCTCCTCCTCGCTGTTGCCGGTCTCCAGCCCTCCTCCGCTGCAGGAGGCGATCATCAGCGGCGTGAATCCGTCTGGCAAGGCAGGAAGAGGAGCCGTCAACCAAAGCAGCCTGAAGGACAGGCCGGCTGGGGAATTGGGGAGTTCAAATCCACACATAGTGAACAACGGGGGTGACGTGATAGCAAGTCTTCCACTATCTCAGGGGTTTCCACAAAGAAGAGAGGGTCAGCCTCTTCTCCAAAGCCCCTGGAGGCAGGACAAGAAGCAACGGATGGAAGCTAATCAAGGAGAGAAGCAACCTAGAACTATGGAGAAACTTCCTGACAGTGAGGACAATTAACTAGTGCAACAGAAGTTGCCTCCAAAAATTGTGGATGCTCCAATACTGGAAGTTTTTAACAAGAGACTGGACAGCCACTTGTCTGGAATGGCATAGGCCAGGGGTAGGCCACCTTGGCTCTTTTATGACTCGTGGACTTCAACTCCCAAAATTCCTGAGCCAGCCATGCTGAGGGGAAAGGGAGAGGTTTCCAAGCTGAGGCATGCTGGTTCAGGAATTCTGGGAGTTGAAGTCCACGAGTCATAAAGCGGCCTAGGCCTAGGCTAGAGGTAGGCAACCTTGGCTCTTTTATGACTGGTGGACTTCAACTCCCAGAATTCCTGAGCCAGCACGGCTCAGCTTAGAAACCTCTCCCTTTCCCCTCAGCATGGCTGGCTCGGGAATTCTGGGAGTTGAAGTCCACGAGTCATAAAAGAGCCAAGGTTGCCTACCTCTGGGCTAGTATATACTAAATGTGTAAAAATAAAAAGTTGAGGCCTTACCTTTTTTATTCTATTGTGCTGAAAAAAGTTGGAGATTGCCGTTTCTTTATTCTTTTCCACCCTTTCCCCCCCCTTTTCCCTTCCCCACTTCCCTACTATCTTTATTTTCATTTGGATTTTATCTTATGAAATGTCATAAAATAAATTAAAAACGAAAGAGAGGCAGGCAGGGTTGGGGCCATCTGGAGCGTCGCATCCAGCATCTGGGCTACCAACTGGATCTTGCATTGATCCCTCCTTTACTGACAGATCCAAAGGTTCACCCACCTGGCCCTCGAACGTTGACGTCCATGCAGTCGGCGTCGATCTCCCCCTGCGGTGGGGTGGGGGCCATGGAGGAAATGCGCAGGTCGGCCGCATCCAGGTGCTGCTGCGTCCACTGCCGGTGGTCAGTCTGATCATCGGGCAGCATGACCTGTTCCTCTACCTGGGGAACAAGAGGGGTGGAGAAGTCAGGTGAGGGTCCACTCGCCGGAGCTGCCTCTATTCAGCTTTCCTGCAAAATGCTCGATTCAGAGGAAGGCTGACGCGGAGCTACGTCTTTTGAGGTCAGAAATTCAACCCTATTACTTAGAACAAGGCTTTTCAACCAGTGGTACGGGTACCCCCTGTGGTACATTGGCACCTGGCAGGTGGTATGCGACCATGCTAGAAAAGTGGTAGCCGGGGAGGGGAATGAGCTGAACCGGTGGCAGCACCGCACAAGCCTGAGCGAGAGACGGCTGGAGCTGCAGGGCTGTCAGGGCTCAGCGGAAGTGCCAGGATCAGCACCAGGATCCAGCTGATTGGTGCTTCTTCGGGACTGTCAGGGCTCAGTGGAAGCGCCAGGCTCCAGCTGGAGTTCAGCGCTGATCCTGGAGCTTCTGCTGAGCCCAGAAGAAGCGCCGATGAGCTGGAATGTTGCAGCATCTCCAGGGTCTTGTGATTTACATTCAGATGCTTGGCAACTGATTCATATTTATGACGGTCACAGTGTCCCAGGGTCATGTGAAGTGACCAAAACCTGCTGCAACCACCCAGCAGACGGGGGGGAATAAAAACCCCAAAACCCCCTACCCCACCCCCGCTGCCAATGCTCAACAGAAATGCTCACAACAATGAAAACCTCGGACAGGAGGAAGAGCACTGCCGGGTGGGCAGGCAGGTGTCTTGCTCGGCTGTGGCTTGGGGGGGGCACTTTTTTCAGTGCCATTGTAACTTCGAACAGTCACTAAGTGAACTGTTGTAAGTCGAGGACTACCTGTACTTCATCACTTTTTTCCTTTTTTGGGGGGGTCATCACGTTTTTGACCCCTTGCTAGGCGACTGGTGGTCCTCGGATGTTGCCATACCCTAAAAGTGGTACAATGGGTGAAAAGGTTGAAAAGCCCTGACTTAGAAGTTGGTTTCGTATAATCGGATTACCTGACATGTAGGGAAAAGTGGAGAAGGAAGGGAATAGAGGAAGAAGGAGGAAAAGAAGAGGGCCAAAGAGGTGAGTGCTGGAAGTTTGAAATCCACACATAAAGCAGTGGGTGTCTGCAGATTTTCAGAGAGGTCCCCGAAACTCCTGCAAGCATCGTGTTTTGTTCCTGCGAGCAAAACTGTTTTAACCGGGCATCTAAAAGTGTCACAGTTAGCCAAGCGCTTTCCTAACATTGAAGACCGTTCTCTCCAAGAACAGGGCTTGCGCTGTTCTCATGCCCTCGTTCTCAAAACGCTCTGGGGGCCTCCTCCCATCTCCCCTTTCCTTCCACAGTGAACCATGAAGGAGGAAAAAGATGGAAGGGGGAGTGTATTTTCATGAAGTAGCTCTCCACGTGAAAGCACTTGTGTGTCCATGAATCCAACTGATGGGCCTGCAAAGGTGCAAAATCGCCCTGCGCTAAACTCTGTTCTTCTTCTTCTTATTATTATTATTTATTGAATTTATATACCGCCCTATCTCCCTTATGGGACTCAGGGCGGTGAACAGGCGATAATAAAAACCACGATAAATATACGCAAGTTTCTGTTCTAAAATCAAATTAAATAACAGGCCTGCTCTAAAAATACCCCATACAAAACCCCCCACTAAAACATAATCAAACTACGCCAGGCCGGCCGCACGGAATAGATGGGCCTTCAGGGCTCGGCCATTTCTGCCATTTCTCGGACTTTTCTTATCAGGCAAAATAACCCCGGACAGGTTTATGGTCCTTCTTTATTCCTAGGGACCTTGGGAATTTTGTCTGACTTCCTCTTGGCGTGAGTTTTGGAGCTTCCTGGCTCCCTCTGTTGTCCTAGGTGTGTTTTTCATGGCATCTTTGCCAAGCTCTCCCCCACATCCCGATCTGAAAAAGACCCCAGAGAAGGACCGCTTTCAACCCCTCCCGAGAACCCCCAGGCAGGGCAAAGGACTAAACCGCAGATGGGTGTCCTTTACATTGCAAGACCACGCTCCTTCCGTGAAATTCTCTTCTTCTCTGGCAGAAATCCCAAATGCCCAATCCAGACTGAACGAGAAGCGGTTCAAAAAAAAAAGAAAACTCTGGAGGATTTTCCGGCGTCCCGTCTCCGCGCAACCAGCTTCCCAGAAGCAAAGCATCCTTGGCCAACTTACTCGGAATTTCTTGGTGTTGAGCGTCTCCTCGTCTCCCCACTCGTTCTGGTTGTCGTCCATCAGGGTGCCGTTCGAAGCATTTTTCAAGGGTCTGGGGGAAAAAGGGTTGGGGGGGAAGAAAGAGGCAAGGAATTAAATCCATGGGGAAACAGTCGAGCGACCGTTGCTGTCAACAAAATAAAGTGGAGTAACTAAAGACTAGATAAACTGAACAAAAAGACATCTTCCCATTATTCCAACATTTCAACCAACTTCCTGAAATTCAGTCATTTTGGAAACTTTCTATGGGAGTCAAGCCAAGTTAAAAAAAAAAAATAGCAAAGAATTTAAAATTAAGATCCAGAATATCAAACTTTCTTGAAACAGTGGTTTGGGCGGTGTGCTCGTTGTGTATTCTCAATTTGTTATACAAAAATCAAGCTGTTTGTGTAAACACGGAACGCTCCTTCCAGAGTTATGAGCTGGAGGTTTCGGCTGTTGCCTTTAACAGTTTGAGCTCTTTGGGAATCTTGTAAAGCCATTAAGACTTTTTTTCTCTCTCTCTTTTTTTTAAACAAAATCTCTCTTTTTAAAAAGGAGCTATCATTGGACCTTTTCTCAGGAGAATGTGCTTAAATATATAAAGATAAAACACATGCAGGCTCTCTCACAAAAGGAAGTCCATACTGCTCATGCATTAAAAAATAATATCAAATAATATCTGTGCTTCGGTATAAATCCATTAAACCCATAACAATAAATACACTTAAAAGGGAGACGAGCTAAAACGGGGAGTCGAGGGGGTCATAAAATATAACCAGATTACTTTGTCATCTGCGGTCATTCTTCAATGAAAAACTTAAGTCCACTTCGAAGCTGAGACTTTTGTGCCCACCCCATTCACAGACCTCCTGAGATTTACCCACGACCCCCACCGAGAGAAAATGAAGTCAAAGCATAGCAGGAATCAATGCCCCCCCCCCCCAGATTCCTACAGATGCCCTCTACACCCAGGGCCAAGGAGTCGGCCCCCGTGTGTTTCCTACAGCTTGTCCTGCGTGGGACAGAAAACCAGCCCTTTTGCAAAAATCACAGGGCTATTATTTGCCTCTAGTCACCCCAAAAAGGAAGCAAAGATTCAAAATGCTTGGGAAAAAAAGAATGTAAACAATGTCTTTCCCAGCCAAGTTCTCTTTGGCTAAACGGAAGCCAAAGCCGGCATGCCGTAAAGAGTGCCCACCACGTTGTGCTCCTTCAGCACGCTAAACCTGGGTGAGTGAGGCACCACTGCCGGGCTCACTTCAGGTGCTTTTTTCCTCCCCAACCAATAAATCCTTTTTCTGCTTCCACCCCCTAAAGACCAGAGTCAGATCCACGCAAGGCTCTTTGCACGAACCGGACGGAGGGCGAGCGTCTCTCCGGAGGATCAGCCGAAGGGTAAAAGAGTGGGGTCCGGATGCCAGTCAGCACCCCAACCTCTGCCTGGAGATCCCTACAAGAGGGAGGGAGGGAGGGAGGGGGGGAATACTCACTTCAGCCCCACGGAATCTTCCCCCAGTGGCTCCCGGCGTTTCTTCTTACTGGACTCCGTCACTTTGAAGCCTTCGGGGAACCAGAGCTGCCCATGTTCCCTCCGCCGCTTGCGAGTTGCCAAAACGCCGATGCCCACGCAGAAGAGGAGGAAGACCAAAGGTGCCACCACATACATAGGATACCACTGGCTGCTCCGGGGGGAATCGGCCGTTTCGCCTGCGATGCAAAAGCCCAAAGTGCCCAGATCAGACCGAGGGAAGGTGCTCACCAGCCGGAGGATGGCAAAGTGAGGGCCAAGGAGGGGTGAGCAGCCCCACCGCTCGCCCCCTCCCTCTCCAACTCCTCAGGAGGAGGAGGAGGAGGAGGAGGAGGTCGTTTTCGATGTGATTCATCAGCATTGCAAACTCTCTGTTGCTGCGCTGGGGGAAAAAAAAAGCTTTCTTTCCTTTAGGAGAAAAAGGATTAGCCCATTTCAAATCGTTGAATCCACATTGAGCGGTTAAGTCCAAAGGATTGAGGAGGATTTGGGAGGAGAGCACTTCAGCTCTTCATGTGTCACTGATCGATTGCAAGGTCTGAGGCAGCTTCCCCTCCCTCCCTCCCCCTCCTTCCCTAGCAATAATTATTTTGAAATAAGTTCTGGAGGGGAGGCAAAACTTGAGAGATTCCTCCCCCCCCCCAAAAAAAGAGCAAGGGAACGGGACTTCCTTTTTAAAAGGCATTCGGTTAATCGCTCAAAGGACTCTTTACTTTTCATCGCTTCTGTTTTACAGCTCTTGGCCCATCGTTTAGAATGGGATTGTGTGTTGTACATTACGCATGCGGGGCACATACATGTTATCGGGGGCCTGTGCTGTGTGTCTTTTGACTCAAGAAGCTTATTGAGAGCTGCCTCTGGCGGAATTAGCCCCAAACTATAATAAAATCCATCATTAACTTAATCCACTCTTTCTCAACCTTGGTAATTTTAAGAACTGTGCATTTCAACGCCCAGAATTACCCAGACAGCGTGGGTGGCTAGGGAATTCTGGGAGTTGAAGTCCGCACGTCGATGCCAACGTCGAAAGAACACTGGCCTGTTGACATTCTGAAAGATTAGAATCCAAACAAGTTTTGTCATCGGAAAACTGGTGGGAAACCCCAAATTCCACGGCTTCGATGCTAGATGGATATTTTAATAGACAACAATATGAAGATCGGCCGATAGAACTAATAGCCTCCGTGTTTATGTTCCTTCTTTTTAAATATTTATATTCTCTCCTTTCTGAGATTTTTATTAGCTTCCTCATAGCCGTGACCAGATGTTAAAAAAATAAGCAGATCTAATTAATACAAGTAATTCTCAACTTAGCACCACAATTGGGGCCTGAGTGTCCATCACTAAATGAGGTGGTCAATAATTGCCTGATTGTAAGGACCTGCCTCAACTAGGTCCCCCAAGAAAGCACAACTCTTGAAACAGGCACCGTTTCAAAAGGAACTTTTATTGAGAGTCAGTGATAGCACAAGAGCAAAGCAAGGTCTGAATATTTCACGCGCGAACGGTTACATCAAATGGCTCATTCGGGTCTCCACCCCCCAGTGTTCAACCGTCCGGTTGAAATCCAGCCAATCCATAGGGGCTAGGTTGTTTTGAGAACCTAGTGATCTAGCGCCCATCTCAAGCTCTCGGTTTCGTTTCCCAACGATCCCAGGCTCCGTTGTCTGGAGATAAGGCAGATGTTTTTCAGGCCACATTCCTTTCTCACGGAGGGAGGACATTTCAAAGAGCCAGGCAAACACATTCCCCAAGCAAGCAGTCCCCCCTCCCACCAGAATGACAGGCCCCGAAAAGGAATATATTTTTATGACTTTTTTTTTTTGCTACAGTTGGTAACCTTATGAAGGGCCAATATCTGAGGACCACCTGTCTCTCTTCAACAGCCTGACCTTCCCTCCCAGGTTTCAGTGCAAAGAGCAAATAAAGGAACAGCATCACATCCAATTCTGATGTTAATATATTAAAACGCGTGTTTGTGACACCCAAACAGAATAACAACAACACAATAGCAGAATTGGAAGGAACCTCTTCCATCCCCTTGCTCAAGCAGGAGACCCTCCTACCATTTCAGACAGTCTCTTCTTAAAAAAGCTCCAGTGTTGGAGACCCACAATTTCTGGTGGGTGGAACCAAGTTCCCCTGGTTAATTGTCCTGACTGTTAGGAAGTTCCTCCATAGTTCTAGGTTGCTTGTCTCCTTGATTAGCCTCCATCCGTTGCTTCTTGTCTTGCCTTTGGGGGCTTTGAAGAAAAGGCTGACCTATCCTAATTGCATAGGCTTGGGACACTATCCTACATACAGTACAGGATGCTTCATTGGAGGACAGGTTCCAGAAGGTGGAGAGTTACAGAAGCAGGAACCAGAGGCACGAGTCCCTTTCTTGTTAAGTGATGAAGCTGGATACTCATTTATCCAGCGTCTGTTCCTGAAGGCCTCAGCAACCTGCCAAGGAGGAGGGAGACCCTCCCTCCATACTCTCAGCGGCTTTCCAGGCCCTGCGATCCCCCAGGCAAGTCCCAAGTTCTAACTGAGTCTACTTACTTTTCACAGCCTCGATCTTGTAGGGAATGTCCAAGTTGCCGCTGGAGGCCAAGGCGCCCAGGAACGCCGCTACGTCGGTGGCACTTTGGAAGCACTGAGAAGACGACTGGACGCACTGGCGGTTGTCGATTTCCAGGTGAACAATGGACCTGCAGGTTGGGAGAAGGAAAGTGCACGGGAATTAGCAGGAAGGACGGCCGTCCTTCAGCACAGGACTCGGGCATCTTCATCAGAGCTGGCGGCTGCAGCCTGACCCAGCTGTGCCAGACCGCATCCAGGTAGTCCTCGACTTACCACAGTTCATTTAGTGACCGTGCAAAAGTTACAACGGCACTGAAAAAAAGTAACTTAGGACCCTTGCAGCATCCCTGTGGCCACATGATTAAAATTCAGACCCTCGACAGCTGGCACGGTTCGTATTTATGACCATTGCGGTGTCTTGGGATCGTGTGATTGTTTCTTGTGACTTTCTGACAAGCAAAGTCAACGGGAAAGCCGGATTCATCAAACATCCAGGTTACTAACTGAATAACTGCCATGACTCACTTAGCAACTGTGGCAAGAAAGGTCATAAAATGCGGCAAAACTCACTTAGCATCTGTTTTGCCTAGCAATGGAAATCTGGGGCTTAATTCTGCTGGTAAGTCAAGGACAGCCTGTGAGGCATTCGGCATAGGCCTTTGGGCTATTCTCCTTGGATATTCTCAGAATATTCTTCTCTCTGGTACATTGGGCACAAGTTCTGTTCCTCCCAGCTGATCAGGCCTAGGATTATTCTTCCAAATTAATGTGGAGAGAAGCAAAGTCCTACACTTAGGCAGGAAAAACCAAAGGCACAAATACAGATTAGGGGAGACCCGGCTCAAAAACAGTAACTGTGAGAGGGACCTCGGAGTCCTAGTGGACAATCACTTAACCATGAGCCAGCCGTGTGCAGCAGCAACCAAAAAAGCTAACACAATCCCGGGTTGTATAAACAGAGGTGTAGAATCAAGGTCACGCGAGGCATTAGTACCGCTTTATGAAACCCTAGTGAGGCCACACCTGGAATACTGCAGCCAATTTTGGTCACCTTATCACAAAAAAGATGTTGAGAGTTTGGAAAAAATTCAGAGAAGAGCAACTAAGATGATCAAAGGAGACTGGAGACTAAAACATACGAAGAACGGCTACGGGACTTGGGTTTGGCTAGTCTAAAGAAAAGAAGGAATAGGGGTGACATGATAGCAGTACTCCAGTATTTGAGGGGCTGCCACAAAGAAGAGGGCATCAAACTATTCTCCAAAGCACCAGAGGGAAAGACAAGAAGCAATGGATGGAAACTCATCAAGGAGAGAAGCAACCTGGAATTAAGGAGAAACTTCCTGACAATTAACCAGTGGAACAGCTTGCCTCCAGAAGTTGTGGGAGCTTCATCACTGGAGATTTTTAAGAAGAGGCTAAAGTGACTGTGTCAAACTGCCAGCCCATGGGCCAGATGCGTCATAGGGAAGCTAAGCCCATCCCATTGCCAGCAATGGCCAAAAAGCTCCGATACATTGCGCGACGTCACGTGATGTCGCGAGTTTGACATGTCTGGGCTAGACAGTCACTTGTCTGAGATGGTATAGGTTCTTCTGCTTGAGCAGGGGGCTGGACTAGATGACCTACAAGTCAAGTCAAGTCAAGTCAAGTCTATTCTATTCTATTCTATTCTATTCTATTCTATTCTATTCTATCCCATAATTCTATTCTATTCTGTTCTGTTCTGGTTGCTTATTCTATTCTATTCTATTCTATTCTATTCTATTCTATTCTATTCTATTCTATTCTATTATTCTATTCCTGCCACACAACGCAAAGTCCCCCATTGCCCTGCTGCAGCTTTATGCCTGGGTCTGAATGACCTTTAACACTCCCCCTTCCTACACACACACACACACACACACACACACACACACACCACACAATCCTAGTCACCTTGGTTCACTTCTGCTGTGGTGCTTACCCATAGATTTCCACCTGGTCCAGCTCTCTCTTCGGCCTCCCGCTGATCCTCGCCTGGAGGGCTGCCTTCACGCTGACCACCACTTCCGACACGTCTGGCCAGTCGCCCGCCGACCTCTTGATGCGGTGTTTTTTTAGTTCTTCCGGGTTCCCAAAATAAGGGAAGATCATGTACTCGCCCTTGGTGTCCTTCTTGAAAACCACGTTGGTGTGCAGGACCCGGCTGAGCTCCCGCAGGAAGTTCAGGGAGTAGTTCCTCAGGATTTCAGGGCTGACCAGCACCACCACCACCAGGGTCCCGTCCGCCAGCTTCTGGGGCACGTGGTTGGCACAGTCGAGGCCATCCCATTCGCACTCGGCGCTGTTGCAGCCCTGATCGCAGTTGCCGTCAGAAAAGTGATCCTTGCAGTACTGGTCGTAGAGAGGGCTGCCAAGGTGGAGAGAGAAATGAGTGAGGCCATGGATCACCTAGACCAGGGGTCTGCAACCTTGGCTCTTTTATGACTCGTGGACTTCAACTCCCAGAATTCCTGAGCCAGCAGGAATTCTGGGAGCTGAAGTCCACGAGTCATGAAAGAGCCAAGGTTGCCTACCCCTGGCCTAGCAGCAGCTTCTGCCCTCTCCCGAAGTAGCACCCCCCCATTTGCCTAGCACAAGGGTAGGCAACCTTGGCTCTTTTATGACTCGTGGACTTCAACTCCCAGAATTCCTGAGCCAACATGAGGGAAACTTTGGCCCCTTCATGACTTGTGGACTTCAACTCCCAGAATTCCTGAGCCAGCCACGCTGAGGGGAAAGGGAGAGGTTTCCAAGCTGAGCCACACTGGCTCAGGAATTCTGGGAGTTGAAGTCCATGAGTCAGTCATAAAGTGACCTAGGCCTAGGCCAGGGGTAGGCAACCTTGGCTCTTTTATGACTGGTGGACTTCAACTCCCAGAATTCCTGAGCCAACATGAGGGAAACTTTGGCCCCTTCATGACTTGTGGACTTCAACTCCCAGAATTCCTGAGCCAGCCATGCTGAGGGGACAGGGAGAGGTTTCCAAACTGAGCCGTGCTGGCTCAGGAATTCTGGGAGTTGAAGTCCACGAGTCATAAAAGAGCCAAGGTTGCCTACCCCTGTTCTAGCCTGATGTTTCAGGATGCTTGTAATATAAGCCCCACCCCCCAAAATAAGTCCCAGTTAAGATCATCAACCAGGCGGACTCATTCAGTACCGTATTTCCTCGAATATAAGCCCTAAAGCAGTGATGGCGAACCTTTTAGAGACCGAGTGCCCAAAACCTGCCCCCCACCCCCGTCCCCGCTCCGCCCTGCCCACTGGGCCGCCCACTACCTCCACGGCCTGCCACAGATTATCCAGGCAGCCCAGCAGTGACATGGTGGCCACGCCCTCCGCCCGTGCCCCGCAGCATCATCTGGGGCGCAAGGGTGGAGTCTTGTCCCCGCTGCCCGGCTGTCCTTGGCTGCGCTGCTTCGTGTGGGCCGCGCCCGGGGGCGACTCCCCTCCGGGGGGCTGCTGGTGAGGAGGGGGCCATGGGAGGAGGCGGGGCTGGGGTGACGGTGCATGTGCCCACAGAGAGGGCTCCGAGTGCCGCCTCTGGTGCGCGTGCCGTAGGATCGCCACCCCTGCCCTAAAGCATCTTTTTGAGCAAAAATGAATACAAGACCCGATCTTATTTTCGGGGGAACACGGCTGCGAGCAGCCCTTCCTCCTTCTCTTTCCCCTTCTTGAAAAGAAAATAAATAAACGAGCCCCCTTGAAGCGGAGGAAAGGGACGCAACGCGCCAGCCGGCCGGGCACAGCCGCTTACTTGCACTGCAGCTCGACCTTCTGGCAGTCAAAGCCGTCGTACAGGCAGCCGCTGTTGTTGCACTGGACGTCACACTTGCCGTCGTTGAAGTAGTTCCAGCACTGCAGGGCCTGGGTGCAGTTCTTCCAGGGGTCGTTGAAGTTGAGCGAACAGTCCCCGCCGTCCCAGCCACAGGCGTGGTTGTTGCACTTGGCGTCGCAGATCTTGTTGCCGGCCAGGCTGGGGCAGCCCGGGATCTCGCACGTCTCCTCCACCGGGGGAGGGGTGATGTCCTGACCGGGACCCCCCGGGAATTCAAAGTCCAGGATGTGGCAGTGGAGGCCATTGAAGTTGATGGGGCAGAGGCAGCGGTAGTGGGGCGGCTCTTGGGTGAACTGGCAGGTGCCCTCGTTGTAGCAGGGGCCGGAGTGGCAGGGGCTGTGGGAGGGGAACTGGCACTCGGGACCGGTGAAACCCGGCGCGCACAGGCACCTGGTCTGCTTGGCGCTGGAAACGCAGGTCCCGCCGTTCAGGCACCGCAGCATCCCACAGCTGTGCAAGTCGTTTTCACAAGTGGCGCCGTTCAAGTCCTGAGAGGGGAAGAACCAGAAGCAGACCATCATTCAGAAGTGAAGGAACCGGAAGGAATGCTGAGACTGGGGGAGCAGCACTCCAGACCAGGGGCTATCCAGCCTCCGTGGGCTGCTGTCAAGGGGTGACATGACAGCAATGTTCCAATATCTCAGGGGCTGCCCCAAAGAAGAGGGAGTCAAGCTATCCTCCAAAGCGCCTGAAGGCAGGACAAGAAGCAACGGATGGAAACTCATCAAGGAGAGAAGCAACCTGGAACTAAGGAGAAACTTCCTGACAGTCAGAACAATTAACCAGTGGAACAACCTGCCTCCAGAAGCGGTGAATGCTTCAACACTGGAAGTTTTTCAGAAGAGACTGGACAGAAATTTGTCCGAAATGATATAGGGCCGTGGTGGCGAACCTATGGCACGGGTGCCAAAGGCGGCACTCAGAGTCCTCTCTTTGGGCATGCGTATCGTCGCCCCAGTCCTAGGCCTTCAGCTGGGTTTTATAAAACCTTTTTGCTTTAGGCCTCCGCGTGCAAAAAAAAAAAAGTTCAATCAATCAAGTTCAACCATGAACTTGCCATGATTTCTGACATTTTTTTTGCAGGAAACTGGTGCTCACTTCCGGTTTCTGGCAGAAACCGCCCCATAACGGGTTGGCACAATGACCTCAGCGTTTGCTTAACAGACGCTGCAAAATAATAATAATAATAATAATAATAATAATAATAATAATAATAATAATAATAATAATAATAAAAAAAATGGGCACTTTGTGAGCATCTTGACGCACAAATGAAATTGTGGGCTCAATTAACTTTACAAATCAAGGACTAATTGTAATTTGTGTTATACGTGGAATCGTAAACTTCCCAAATGGGGTCCAGTGGTGCCCTCCCTGACGGCCCAGTTTCCCAGGTGGGGCAGGCCCCGCCCCTCAGTGCTGAAAGAGCCCAGCTCCACCCATCCCATCACAATCAAGGTGCGAAGAAGGTGGGGCTTCCCTCCTTGAGCCACCCCCCCCTCCTCCTCCCTGACCCCAGCCGGCCGCATACCGGGGGACACCTGCAGATGTAACCCTGTTTGGTGTTGCTGGCGACGGCGCAGGTTCCCCCGTTCCGGCAGGGTCTGGTCTGGCAGCCATTCAGCACCGTTTCGCAGCGCCGTCCTGGAAGGAGAGCAAAAGGGGGGCTTCAGGTGGGCATCCGGCCGAATCAGGCGTCTACGCTTTCTGATGAAGGGGGGGG